AAAATCACTGCAACAACATCAACAATTGCAACAACAACAGTTACAGCAGCAACATCATCAACAATTACAACAACAACAAATACAACAAGAAATTCATCGTCAATCGATCGTTGCTGCTCATCATCATCATCACCATCATCAACTTATACAACCTCAAACCATTGTTCCTACTGCAACCATGGTAAATCATAGCAACAACAATAATGAAGCTCCAATTAGGTGTGTTAATTGTGCTCAAACTCAAACTCCTTTATGGAGAAAGAATGAAAAAGGTCAACCTATTTGTAATGCTTGTGGTTTATATGCTAAATTACATAATAGAGATCGTCCTGTTGCCATGAGAAAGGCAAAGATTCAACGTCGTAGAAGAGACTGGGGTGCCAATAACGGAAATCCTAACGGAGGAAGTGGCGGTGGTGTTGGAAGAAGTTATTGGTTGTTGAAGAATAGGAATTTCATTAGATGTTGTTGTCGTTACACCACCATTAACAGTATTTTTTCTTGACGATGAAGTCGAGGATGAAGCAGAAGATGAAGCAGATGTCGATGTAGTAGAAGTAGCGGTGCTTGTGGGAATAGTGTAAGGATTACCAGTAGCAGTATGAGGCTTATTCCTAATATGTAATGGGCGATGAGTATTATATTGTTTATAATATAAACCGCAAGCGTTACATAAAGAGTGCATCCTGTCAGGAGTACGACGCCAAAGAGGAGTCTTGGTGACACCACAATTCGAACAAACTAGATTACGAGGTGGTTTTGAACTTGTGTGTTTTTTGATGGAAGTAGATGATGATGATGACGATGATGACGATGATGATGATTTTGATTTATTTTGAGATGATGATGGAGTAGGTAATTGTTGTGATGTATTTATCATTGAAGGAGAAACAACATTATTGTTGTTAGTGGTGGAATTAGATTGTTGATTGGGGGATGAAGGAGCTGTTGAAGGAGGACTTGTTTGAGAAGAAGATATTGTTTCAACAATAGAAGAATCTGATTCCATACGAGTTCCATCATCTTAATAATAAAAATTTTGTTTAAAAAAAAAAAAACTAACAAATAGGAAATTATTAAATAAATAAATAAAAATTAATACATACTGTTTGATTGTTGTGATAAAAGTTGATGTTGATGATCGTTATCATTTTCAGTTTTAATATAAGTATCCATAATAGGATCTTCATTTTTAATCTTAGCATTCATATTGGGAGATGAAGAAGATGAAGAAGATGTGGAAGAAACCATCGTAACCAAGGCAGCAGAAGAAGAGGAAGCATCTGTTGATATATCAGGGAAACTGGTTTCGGTCAAGAAGTCGCGTATGTCGTGTAAACCTTCCATTAGAAGTTTATCACCATACATATCTTCGATAGGACTGTGAATGTCATCCATATTCTCACCAAAATCGTTGATATTGTTGTTAGGAGAATCTAAACCAGAAGGTGCATCGGTGGGACTGAGCATTATATCGTTCTGATATATAGCTTTTTCTAACATATAAGAGTCCACTAATTGAGGTTGTAAGGTTGGTGTGCTGTTATTTGAATCATTATTATCATTATTGCCATTATTGTTGTCATTAATATCATTATCGTTAATTGACCAATTAAATGAAGGTGTAGAAGACATGAATATATCGTTCTCAAGATCAATAGATTCTTGTAGTAATGAATTATTTATCATCGGATTATTATAATGATGTGATGTAGGATTGTAAATTGAGTCAGGAGATTGCACTTGTAAATATTTTGTATCCGGAGACGCTGTGTAAGCATAAAGATTTGGTGATGCGTAATAGAAGTCGCTATTAACATGAATCATAAGATCATTTGGTCCCATTATTATTGTTATAAAGAAATTTTTTTGCAAAAAATTATTTTATTGATGATATTGATGATTGATTAATATGATTTGATTTATGTTGTTGTTGTTAAGATGATTGATTGAAAAAGTTGTATATATATATATATTGTATGATGATGATGATGATGATGATGATGATGATGATGATGATGATTAGAGACGATTTTAATTCGAAGAGGTTTTTGATTGATTGATTGATTGAATATTTTTTTTTTTATAAAGAAAAAAAAAAAAAGATTTTGATGATTGATTTAGTT